TGGGAAATGTCAGCATGGCCCATCGTGCTGCCTTCCGTGGGTCACAGGGAGATCTTCCCTCCTGATAAAATATAATAAACAAAATTGTAATAATAAAATGCTAATTTAATTTTAAAGAGGGTTCCCCCCCCCTTTCACAGGGAGCTGTATTGTTACGGAAAGAACAGTTATGCTAATGACAGACTACTTAACTGATTTTACATTAATATAATAAACATCACCTGTCTTAATGTGTTGTAGTGTATTATGGCAAAAGAACTAAGTCTCAAAGTGAGATTCCATTTTGCGTCCTGAAGCAGCATCGCAGTTTCTATGTGAATAATTCTAAGGGCGGCATTTTTTTGTTGTTGTTTTGGAGGATGAAATCCTGTGTCGGAAATGTTTTAGTCTCGGGGTGGAAGCGGGTCCTGCCTTCAGCACTTCTGATTTTGCTGGGCTCTGCTCTGGCTTGTGGCATCGTGCTTCTCTGCTTGCCAGGGTATCAGTGGTTTATCTTCTGTGGCATGAGCAAAGCTGGTTTGCATTCTTTCGGCTGAGACTTTTGTTTTACATTTTAGATGTATTGCACATAATAGCTTTCTAATAAGACAGCTCAAGTTAATTGTTTGGTTTTGCCTACCCATATCTATTTCTGTTTGTAGCCCAGTTTTTTTAACCGTTCCTCAGCGACTCACTCTTTCTGTGTTCAGCTTTGTTTTGCTCTGTTTAACTTTTATCACAAAATCTTTAACCGAAGAATTGCTGTTTGGAAAACCAAGGTGCCTGGTATGAGGTCTTAACTGAAATCAAGTTGGAACATACATCGCGGGAGGAAAGGATTTTCTGCCAGAGTTATCCTTTATGAATTAAGGAAATCCTCCCCATCTTCCATGCATGCCTGCTAACAGTTAACAGGACCACAGCCGTATCCAACATCGAAGGCACATTGTGTGAAAATGGCATTCTTTTACTTTCTTTTTTTTTTCACTTCATACAAGATTAAACTACTTGAAATAATTTAGTCAGTATTTAATTATATTAATATCACTGAAAATGGGGGAATGGAGATGATTAAATGGGACTAAATCATTTTCATCCCCGTGACCCTTGTCTGGGCTGTACGCAGGAGTGACAAATGCATCCCTGCTGTAGCTCTGTTGTGAAGTTAAAGGTGAACTTGGCCTAAGTTTGGGGCGTTTTTCCTTGGTCGGTGTCGCCAAAACACAGCATGTTTATGGAGTTTGGAATCGGGGTAGCAGAGGAGGCTGTGGGGAGCGGGAGGGCAGTGGGGGATGCAGAGGAGCAGCAGGCAAAGCCCTGGGAGGAGCAGTGTCTGAAAACAATTGTGAGTATTAAAGACATTTTTTGCCGTTGATGGTATTAGCATGTCAGCAGGTCTATACTAGCACGGCTCCGAAAGCCAAATTGCAGCTGTATTTTTACCTTTGCTGCCAGGTTTACATGCAGCTGGGTATCTACCACACCCTATTGTTATCAGTCAACAATACCAAAAGTAGTTCATTAATCATATCAATAACAACAGTCGTGTTTCATGTGGAAAATGGAAATAAACAACTTCAAGAAAAGATTGATTTCTGCTCGGCATGCTAACTTAGCATTCTTTAAATATATCTGCCAGTAGTTTAATTTGAACTTCAACTCCCTGAAGGCAGTAAGACAAAATTATTTTAGTTCTTCATAAACTGCCTTCTGTGATTCATTGTTAACTCATAAAACACACTCATTTTCATGTACTTAAACAGTTAAGCCATTTTTAAAGTTGGTTTGTAATTTTTTTTGGCAACACATTTAAGTTGGCATCTGAGAGATAGAAATCTAAAATTAATTTATAGCCCTCAGTTTAGGTTTCATTTACTATCAGACAAAATATCAGAAATAAATATTTTTTTAATCTAACGTAATATAAAGTATATTGCACAGTATCTGAAATAAAGTTTAGTTTTGACTGAATACACTCAGAAAGGGACCCATAAATATTAGAGAGCTGTAGTTAAGAACTTACATGACTGTTTTAAATACTATTGATTTAAACCACTGGCTAGATTTTATGAATCAAAGTGTAATTTCCAAGCTTTGGCTATATTTCTCATCGCTAAAGCACTCTCTCTTGTGTGCCTTTAGCAGCTTTCCAGACATTCAACACCGGATTAAATGATAGTAGTTACAATGATCAATAGGTTAAGACCGGTACAATCACTCTTACCGCTAATGACCTCGGTAGTAATGGGTAATAAAGTGTGGGCTATAATAGCCTATTGCTGGTGCTGCATGCCCTTTGATTCCTGGTATTACCAGGGACTAGCTACATGAAAAAGTTGGACGTTGGGAGTTAAGAGAGTGGATATATAGGCCATCATTCTTAACTATTTAAAGTCCTTCAGCCACACGTGTGCCTGCACTTGTTCTGGAGGGGTGTGTCATTTCTAACATGGTACTTTCTGGTTTATTTGAATTTGTTTCTAAAAGGTTTCTCTAAGTTGTTTTTGTGATAAGCTGAAGCATAAACTTCGACTAAATGTGGCTGTTAGCCGTGTTTATAAATGGAAGGCAAGGCCTTCTTTGGAGGTGCAGATGTGGTGTGAAAATGTGGTTTCAGATGGTGAAACGCACGGATCAGTGCAAACTTGCACTCCTGGGTGTGCCATATATATTAAAATAGATAGAGGTATATTTTTTTCTTGCTGGTTAAGTGCTTCTGTTGTAGCAAAGAGTGCGCAGCTGAGAGATCCTTCACCGGAAAGTACATGGCCAGTTTTCAAAAGCAGGGCCAAATCCTTAGATTTATCCCAAGATAAGCGTGCAAAAAAGCCGTGGAAGTGAATGGGAGTTGCCTCTGCATAGCTGACGGCAGAATGCGGCCCTTCGTATTAATCACCGATGTGTAGGGTTTACAGCACCCCACCCTATTCCTGTCTGTATCCCTGCTTGTCGTCATAAATCTGACTGAAGAGTATTTGTGTTGTCTGTTTTCCAAGAAGGGCACAGAAAACATACTTAAACATGCTTCCTCTTCTGTTTGCTCGGCCCAACTTCAATGAAAGGTAGTACAAACCCGAGGGTAAAGTAAACTTCTCTGGGGATGAGAATAATGAAGGTGAGTCATGCTTCGGGCCAAAGATAGTGACGGCACCATTGAATTAAATAATTCTGTACTCCCAGGAAAGTTTTTGAAAAGACTATGGATTAATATACTCTGAATTAATGGGATTACCCATCCTGGTGACTCAGTGTCCTCAGAGCTGGTCCTACATGGCGAGGGGTGGCACGGCGCAGCAGCCACTGGCTTTCCCATAGGCATGGGCAAGTGGTACTGCCCACAGGAAACTTGGCTTCAGTGGTACTGGCATTTGACCCATAATTAAATCTCCATTTGCTGTGTTAACAGCAGCCCGAACCACATTAGCTATGTGAGAACACACCGTGCCATGGGGAATGCACAGAGTACCTCACCGTGTTTGCGTTAATGGGATGTCGAAGGCATGCGAGCCTCTGCTAGGCTTTCCTCAGACCAGTGTTTCCAAGGCAGTGGCTGGCCCTGGCACACAACGTGTACACAGCAACATGGGGAGATGTGCAGTGTACATGCGTCTGACCTTCAGGAACCATTTTTAGTTCATCAAAATTAGTGATGCTGAGAAATCAGGACATCAGTGCATAATGACTGTGAAATTAGGAATGAGAGCTTGCTATGCAAATGACAGGACAAATCATGTGAAAAAGTCAAGATAAACTGCATATTAAGACATTATGTTACATAAAATTAATACCGCATTTCTCTCTTGCTTACTACTACACTGGAAGATATTTTTTTGAACTCCTTTATCTCCTGATCAGCTATTGTCTGCTGCTTTTTTTTTAAAGTGGTGCACAGAAAAAGTGCTAAACATATTATTACCTTTTATTGTAACACATGAGATGACAGGAGATCCTTTTTAGCAAAGTATATCCTTTACTGCCTTTAGTTTTGTGCTGTCACATATTTGATTTGAAACTATAGAAAAGTAAGGTGCTTAAATATTACTGTTAAAACTCATATGGGTTTTGTCTTTTCCTCTATTGTTTTTTTTTTTTTCCCTTCCTTTTCTTTCCCTTTTTTTGGGTGGAGGGTAGAGGGGTGGGTTTCTAGGGAAATAGTCTTCTTGCATTACTAGGACTGACAAAATGGTTCTCATGTAGTCTGCAAATTAAACACAAGTGCAGTGATTATTTTGAATAGCTAAATTACATTCTAGAAAGCTTGCAGAATTCATAGCATTGTCATTAGGTATCCGCTTGAATACAATTTGTGTAACCTTGGCCAAGACAGCCTGTCATTTTAATGTCAGTGTTTTATCTGAACAAGACATCATCCTTTCAGATACAGTGTACAGGTTCCTTGCAAAGATGCCCGTGCAGAAATGTGTTAACAGTTGCAAATATGAAATGCTATCAAGTTCATCACTGTAGCTGTTTGTCACTGAAATGTCATGGAAAGCGGCTTTTAATGGTATCTCACATAATATGAAAGAATTGAAGACATCTGTATGCTGGGTGAATGTGGAATGGTAAAGACATCGTGGTAGGGCCTCTCTGTTGAAATTGCATAGGAATCTAGTGCTGTTATTCACATCACTGAGCCTTCCTTCAATTTTCTTAAAAACCTGTCGTAATAAGGTCTAGATCCCATCAGCTGAGGGATACTCAGCTCTGGATTTCTGCACGGAAGGCAAGGTTTTTTCTGGGAGGGAAAGGACCCAGCTGATGATTTCTTGTAAAAATAAATAAATCTTTACAGGGTTTACCATACTGCTTGCTGTAAAGAATTCCCATCTCAATAATGTTCTGCAGAAGGGGAATTTAGTCCCCAGGAGAATGTGTTTGGTACCTTGGTGTGGGCTGTGGTGGGCTGTAAGGACTCTTGCCTTCAGTACCCTCCATGCCAGGCTTGGGGATGTTGGGTGATGTGGAGATGCTGTGGCAGCACACTCTGACCCCCTCTTCGCTCTTCTCTTGTGCTTCAGGTTCCAGTGTCGGTGGCTATGATGACACCTCAAGTTATCACTCCCCAGCAAATGCAGCAGATCCTCCAGCAACAAGTGCTAACTCCCCAGCAACTCCAAGTCCTGCTCCAACAGCAGCAGGCACTCATGCTTCAACAGGTAATTGTTTCCTTAACAGCTCCAGTTGTTTGCTGCCTCCCAAAATGTTCCCAGGGAAAGAAGCTGCCCATGTCTCAGATCTGAACCTTGGAGCAGCCATGCTCTGGGATGAACTGACTGCTCTTGTTTTTAATTCTAGAAATAGCTACTGGAAACAAAACCAGGGAGCAGTGCTAGGAGTGTTTCCAAGATCAGCTAAATAATACAGATGCATATTTAAGTGTCAGGATTTCGGCAGATGTTCCTGTTGCTTTTGCCTGCGTCCCCCAGAAAGCCTGGTGTGCCCTCACTAATGGGAATAAACAAGGTAGTAGCATGATAATTCCCATTTTAGACCTTGTTATGTCCATCTGGCACCATGAAGGACTATGGAGATGGTGGCAATAAAAGTGAAGAGGTTTGCAAGCCTTAATTGGCTTGACTTCAGCCAACGTATGCCGTGTGGTGTGTCAGTGTTTCTCACAGCCTGTGGTCCTTTTTCAGCTCAAAGTTGGCCGCTGACAAGCCCCAAGGCTCCGTTATAGTAGGGTAGGGCACAGTGGGGGCTCAAGAATCCTGGGTGGGCATCAGCATCCACCCCACCCTGACCTTGTGTGCTCCCTCTTGCCCACGCCAGAGCACTGCCTGCGCTGTGCACATCTGGAGAGCGGGGAGGAGGAGATTATTTCCCAGGATGTCTATGCATGTATTGAACAACACTTAATACAGTCAAACCCTATCATTTAGAAAGCATATGTGTTTCACAACAGAGATTCGCCAGGCTCTCTCAGCAAGGGCATTTTGGCTTTGTTGTTACAATCAAAGGTCATTCCATGCCTTATTTTAATTAGTTTGTGTAGAAAATGGTATGTTTTTCATCAGTTCATTTTGGAGATTACTTTTCAAACGATAATGCCAAGAATAGTCAGTGTGCACTGAATTTATTGTTGAGTTTCAAACTAAAGGTCAGACCATTACAGATAAAAGGATGCTATTTTTCAAATCACAGTTTGTGTGTTACACGAAAAAGGGACACTGAATTGGCTCTCTACTTTGTTACTTACCATCCTTCCTTTTCTTTGTAGCAGCAGCTTCAAGAGTTTTATAAGAAACAACAGGAACAGTTGCAGCTTCAACTTTTACAGCAACAACATGCTGGAAAACAGCCTAAAGAGGTACAGACAATACCCATTTTACTTTCGAACCACAGGTCCCTGGGGACTGTCTAGTGGCTATTAAACTGTCATTCATCTTATAAATAATTGCACAACTGAACTGACTCCATCGGGTCTCAGCTTTCAGAGTTAGAGTTATTGTCCTGTTTTTGCCTGTATTTTTCTGTGCTTTCCATTTGCTTGCTGCCACATATTTTATAGCACGGGACCATGCCTTGGTGTTTGGTACGAGTACTAGAGCAAGCATCTAGATTGTATCTGGGGAGAGTGCTTTTGGAAGTTAGTTATGTTGTAAAGGCGAGGGGGCAAGGCGGCAGGCCCAGATATGGTGCTGTTCTCTCTAACAGAGCAAAATGCTGAGATGTTGTTTGGGTTTGCAGTTTCCAAATGGAGAGGTTCTGTTTGCACGTTCTTTGCAGCACGGGTTTAGCAGGAGGAACCACACCGTAGCAATGTTGGTGGTGGCACCAAGAAATGAGGTCTGAGAGACAGCATGGGAACGCTGCCTGTTCATGGTGTGGTAGTGGCAGACCTTGTTCTGATGCCACCATAGTCCATGGCATGGACAGGGCAGAGTAGTTTTTGCCTGTCCTTTCAATACACTTTCAAAGTACCCATTATGTCCTAAACTTCATTGGTTTTGGTGTGCTTAAATTTAGTTTTGGTGCAGTTAAGTTTCTTTTTAAGGCACTGAGTTCACCTCTCTAGTCACAAGGAGTTGGAGGCTTTCATGTTTAATCTGACATCAGTGCTGGCTTAGGTAGATCCTAGAAAGCTGCTTCTTGGCATGAGACACTGTGCGATGTCCTGCCGTGGCGGCAGCGTTTGTGTGTCGCTTTGCAAGTGGTGGTGCTCGGAGCACACACTAGTTTCTGCCCCCCCAGATTTCGGCAGTTGTGCCACCTGTGCCAAGTTACAACCCAGAGTGAATTTTTCCAGCTGAGTTATAAACCCCTGAAAATAGGGGGTTTATAATGGAAACGCTGACACAACCTTAACCATAGCACGCTTACGGGCGCCACTATAATAAAAAGGGAACAGATTAAAAAGTGTCTAAAATGTAAATCTAAAGGACTAACAGTAATTAAAATGGAAATGGCACAGGGAGGGAAGGCATGTAATTGTGAGATATCACTGTGCAGAATGCTCTCAGCTTTGTTTTGCTGGCTGTTCTTCTAATTCAGTAGGGCTTACTCATCAGTGGCAGTTCAATGCGCGTTAATGACTCTGGGATGCAGGCATCACTCTGGACAAAGAAATGATTATTGTGCGGTCAAAAGAAGTTCAAAGACAAGAAGGGAATTTGAGTTTTTTCCTTAGAGATCCACATTCAAGAGCATATAAATTAAGCCAAATGTTAAAAACCACAGTCTGAAAGCTGACTTCAAAGTCACAACTCTCTAATTAATGAACTGCGAGCTTCAGTTTGGACAAGTCGTGGTTTGATGCGCCCATAAATCAACATGACAGGTCTGTTTCACAGTCTCAGACAGCGCTTGTCATTGAGTCACATCAGATGTAAACACAGCAGAAAAAAGAGGGAATATGAAGGAGGTGCAATTGATCAACAGAATTGGTAAAAACCCACTTTTGAAACGCATTATGCATGATCACAGGAAATGGCGATAGCCTCAAGAGGCTTTCTCCTTCTGCTGTTGCTTTTTTGAATCAGATTTCTAACAGCCTTCAAAAGGGAGAATAAGAATTATGGAGCTTCTCCCCTGTGGCTGGCAGGCAATAACCCCCTGTTGTTATTTTGTGCTTCTTTCTTTTCAAAGGCGTCAAAATTTAGTTTTTTAAAGATCTTTAACTCTATATTTGAAGACAAACAATAAAGGGCTGCCACTGTCATTCTTATCAGTTACCAGGGATTGTATTTTTTCTTTCTGTTGCCACTTCTTATTAACCTCTTATTTGGTCTATTAGACATAGTTTTGAATGCAAGCCTGCATGCTGGGAGAACATGAAAGTTCAGATGAGCTCAGAGGGCAGATAAAGAAATTTGAAGGGGAAAGTTACACAGCAGAATGAACGATAAAAGTTAACTCTTCTAAATTGCTGTTGTCAGACAGGAGAGCATCTCAGACACAAAGATGAGGGCTTGGAGCTTAAAGGAAAAAAATACTTTGTGTTAAAAAAGACGAGAAGGGAAGTTAGACAATGTGATGGCATTTCAATATCTAACACACTGATTTACTGTGGTCACACTTCTGATATTACACTATCGAAAGCAACAATAAGAAAGGACTCTTTTCCTGTTTCAAGAAGAGCATTTTAACACGATAGCTGTTAAGAGAACAAGGGGCCCAAGTCCTTCAGCTTTTTCTAGGGGTCGGGGGGTATTTTTGCTGATGGGTTTAGTAGAGGCCCGTTTCAATGCTGCATTTCATCCCACAGGTTTGTTCAGCCCCATTTTTCCTGCCTTAAGAAGGTTGTTCTTGCTAAATTAGCATGCAAGTGGTGGTCTTTTATTTTTAGTATTATTTTTATTATCCCCCCTCCCAGTACTAACAGCTGGCTGTGGGGTGCCATGGCAATCAGTGCCATGGTGGGGATGAGTGGCTGTGGTGCTAACGAAGGCTGAGTTTGTACCTTGACAGATGGAACAAGTGTATTCATGTCCTGCGTCCCCCAAGTCATTTTGTGATTGCCTTGTCCTATTGTACTGTTGTGAAAGAGGGAAAACACAACCAATCTCCCAAGCCCTACTGGTAAAAGGGATCTGTCCCCCAAGCAGAATGACAAACGGACCCCAGTAAGGTGTCTGGTGGGTTTTACTAGAGGGCTGCGAGGTGTAGCAGAGCACAAGAGGTGCTGGGGTGAGATCCAAGCCCTCTGCCCATGGGGCTGCCTCTCCCCCTGCCAGGTCAGGTGTCCCCAAGGCAAGGGGGGCTTCAGAGCTGCAGAAGGATCCCGCTGTGTGCCGTGGTGCTGGACGGAGCGGGCAGTGTGCCGAACAGGGGCGTTTGTCCTCCGGCAGTTGTGACAGTTTATGTTAGGCAGTAGGGAGTAACCTAAGAAAGGAAAACAGACCTTTGACAGAAGCTTTAGGGAGGGGATCAAAAATGCAAGTTTTATCAGGATATTTCAGCATTTTAACACTGACTACTGACCTGACAACAGGACTGCACTGAGACCTTTTTTGTATGCATTCAATTGTGAGAAGTAAACAAACTGCCTTGTATCCTGTGTTTGGTAACTGGGTGGGGAGCACAGTTTGGCAATGTGTCTTGCTTTTAAATTCTTTCTTGGACAATGGGCCTTGTATACTTTTATATCCTGGCTTTTCAAAGTAGAGAGTGTTCAAGAGTTTTTCTTAGGACAGCTGAGAAGACAACTATGGGCATCAGTCAATTTATATAAAGGTTGTTGGTTTTCTTAAAAAAAAGAACATGCTAACTTTACAGTCAGATGGCAAATGGGTAAAACACAGCTTACTGTAACTAGATTTTTATGTAATACCATTTATTATATATATAAATGTATTTACAAAATGAATATTTATGGAAGCAAACAGTAACTCCTGATTTAACTGTTGCTAGGGCTTACATTCATCTGGTGCTGCTGTAGATAGTTGCAGCAGCTGGATCTGTCTGAGCAAGCTGTTGCAAAGAAATGAAGTCTCCAAGGTTCAGAACATCTAAACACTTGTTCGTTTAACTGTGTTCTTGAAGTCCTAGATTTCCTTTGGAAAGAAGAGAAATTGATTTTATAAATAAGATAAATAGACTGACTTACTGTCAGTAGACAGACTGACTTAACTGTCAGTAGGCAGGCTGTCAGTACAGTTGGGGGTACACAGTTGGTTGCCCCATTAAGGTTGATGGGGCACGGTGGTAGAAGAAGGTGGGGGACAATCCCCTGGCTGTTTCTGTCAGTCCTGTGCCTGCAGCTCTGATGGAGTTCTTTCCCAGCTTGACACCAGTAGGGAATGGGGCCAGCGATGCTTTGGCTTGGCGTCAGGGAAGGGTGACAAAAAGCTTGGGGTCTGGCTGGGGTTTGTTTGTGAAAGTATGCAGGTTTGTTATGGAAAGAGTTAATTTTTCTTTCCATAATTGTTAGCCATAATGGGTATAAGACCTCCACCTTGATATGATTCCTAGCAGATTAGGGATATTAGATAATTTCCTTCTATTTATTGTACTACTGCACTGTATTATCTTTCTATCACTCAGATAATTACTAAGGAAATCTACATTAATTTTTTTTGGCTAGCACAAGGTACTGCTAAACACTGGCATGATGTATTGATGTTTTACACAACAAAAGTTTTCCTCCTGTCATTGTACAATAAATAAAAAGATATTTATCAAAATGCAAAGCCTTTCATGGGTTTTAAAGAACAAAGCAAATAAAATACGAGATGAGCATGGAAGCAGAACCTAGAGGCTTCCTTAACTGCACAAAATTAAGGACTCTGAAGCCTGGAGTACTGTACATATTAAACACTCACATTCAAGTAAGATGTTGTTTGCTAAATTATGAATGTGTGTAATTAAAATCTAGTGGCTGTTTCTATGAAAGATTTACAATGTTATTTCATCGTTTGTCATGGCTAATTAACAATATTAGATGAAGTTTTTCTTCTTCAAAGGTCTGATTTTTTCTCATTTATTTATGTCAGAAGTGATAAACAGAGTAGTTAAAAGCTTCTCTGGGTACAGTAGTGAGAAAAGCAACATGTTCTCTTACACCTCGGAGGTTCAGGGTTCACATCCCTGTGGAGTAGAGCAGCTCCATCTTCTTTCTAGTGAGAATAATTAAAATTTTCAAAGTGCAGAAGTAGCAGCCTTAAACACAGCACAGACTATTCCAAACATAACAAAGTATTGTGGGGCTTGATGGATGAAGCAAGCAGAGCACAGCACAGGGTTGTTTTTCATTATATCTAAGTGTGATGTGATGATGCAGTGTGATTCTCAAGTTATACATGTTTTTTGCCTCAGAATTACACAGGACTTTTAAGAGCTGCCAGCAGTGTTTGCTTTACCCACCAGTGAAACACAGAGGCTTCTGGGGTAAAACTTGACCATGTGGATCAGGAGATGCTGCATACATTGTTAGTTGGGATGGGAGGAAAGATTTGGGTAGGATGAAAGTAACCGCTGGAGGTGGGAATCGACTGCAGCCCTGTGCCTTGGGGTCTTTGATACGGGGTGGTAGGCTCACAGCTTGCCTTGATAGTGGGTGACTGTGATCAACAGTTGAAGGGTGTTGAGACGAGGAGCCCTGTAAATCCTCTGTTAGCGCTTTGCTTTGTATTGACAAATGTGCATCTTTTCTCTTCCAGCCGCAGCAACAGCAGGTGGCTACGCAGCAGTTGGCCTTCCAGCAGCAACTCTTACAGATGCAGCAGTTGCAACAGCAGCACCTCCTGTCTTTGCAGCGTCAGGGCCTGCTGACAATCCAGCCTGGCCAGCCTACTCTGCCTTTGCAGCCCCTTGCACAAGGTTGGTGAGGGGTTTGGGAGTGGCCGGGTGTCTGGCAAAGCGATAGCATGAATGCACACACACAGAATTGTCACTCAGTAAGACAGAGACAGATCTCATAGGCTCGTAAAATAATAAACACAGAAAAACACTGACAGGCAGGGCAGGCATTATAGAGGTATTTTCTGAGAAGGGCACCGCTCTGGCTAGCGGGAGGCAGGCAGTTCGGAGTCAGATGCGGCTTGCACAACTACAGCCAGTCTGGTGGACTTGAAGCTGCTGGTTGTACACATCTGGGCTTCACATCCTTCACAGGAGGCATCTTAATCGATTCTTGGTGCTCAGTTCATGGCTTAAGGTAGCGTGAGAGCAGCTTTTCCTTCTTTAAATATGCTATTTGGTCCCTTTCTGGTTCCAGCCTGGCAAAGAGCCGGGCGCAGAGCAACTCTGATCTGCACGCTGCCGAGCTGTAGAAATTGGATTGCCCTTTGCAGCAGCTGGGAGGGAGAGGTGGCAGTGTCTTCTTTCCATGCCTGTTTACATGGCCCTCATTTCACTGCCTGTGTGCATCATAGCTTCATTCCTCCCTCCACACTGAGGCAAATTGAGATTAATTCCGTTTAATTTTAATGGTGTTGTTGACAATTAGATCCTCCTACATCTTTATTCACCCTGCACTCTGCCAGAAGTTACTGCTTTGCTGAAATCCCTATTTTTATTTTTCTTTTAAGATACTGATACATTGAAAGCAATAACTACTTAATCTCTGTATTTCTGACAGTGATTATAACCTGGGGCTTTTATTCTCTCTCTTTCTGTTGGGCTTGACTTTACTGTTCTGTATTAAACTAGGTTTGTCTGCAAGGCCTGGGACGTTTTAACAGCTTTGGTTGAGTTCTGGCTGCTGTGGTTAAGGCAGCCTGTTGAAAGTTGGCATGGCTTAGGGACGACCAGGTCTTTCAACCATGATGTTGGCATTTCTGAGTGATCATGCCTTTTCATTCCCTTGCTCCATAATAAATTTAAAATTCCACCTCAGCAACTTGAGTCAGCTCTGGCTGAATGACTTGGGCTCTTCAGAGCAGCCTTAGGGCTGCTACTAGTTGCTAAACCATATAATGAATTTACATTCAGCTCTATACAGTTAAATTTGGGGGAGAGGACAAAATTGCTTCTGTTCTTCACCTTCCTTTTTTGTGTGTCCATAGCTGCAAAAAGGAGGGTGAGGTAGCTGGAGAATATTAACTTCTATGGGTAAATGGAAACAAAACTGAGGAGTGCTTTGTGTGCAGCTGGCATGTTTTACTTAGGCTTATTTTTGCCAGATCCACAAAGGAATTTGAGTGCCTGTTTTAAAAGGCTAAGTTTTGGGACGTACCACCTCTCTCTGTGAGACTCAGTTTAGCTTTTACATCATCCCAAAGCTGGACACCAGGTCTAGACTAGTCCTGTGCATGAGTCAGAGGCAGATGTTCAGGAAGGTGGTGCCTGGCTTGGAGCTGGAGGGTCAGGCCTGGGGTGGTAGCTGGTCAGTCACTGTCGATGCACGGTCTGGTGGGGAGAAGGCATGAAACGAGTCTAGGAAAAAGGGCACATAGATAAAATGGCATTTATAATGCAGAATATTGTATCGTGCATTAATTATGCTTCAGATTTATTGTTGGAAGCATCCCAAGGTGTTCCCACACACCCTCCGGACTCAGGCTTCAACCTTTCTAATTTTTCCCACAGCTCCTATACTATTAAGTTTGCTCGGTAAGGTTCATTGTATAGTACATCAGTTAAGCTGTCCAAAGGAGGGCAATTGGGCAGTGACAAGACACGCTCATGTGTAATGTGAAAGAAATGAATGTGGTGATGCATGAAGTGTAATCTGTGCGGTAACACATCGGAGACACCAGTAGGTAATTCAGCAGTCGTGGCATTGATTGATATGGTTAGCAGGGTAGTGTAACTATTAGTCCTCATGAAGAAGCGTATTTAAAACCTAAGGGGTGCTGACTTGCACACTGAAGATGACATAAACATAAGCAGAAAGGGCTGGTTCTTGCAGGGAAATGAGTTGTGAGCATTGGGGGAGGCCAGAGCCGGGGGCTGGTGGAGGGAGGAAGGAGTAACTTGAGAATTCAGGCAGGGTGCAGTACAGTATGATATTTTATTTTTCTTTATCAGAGAGATGATGGCTTAAAACTGATGTCGTTATGAGGTTTAAATCAACTTTCTGCTTGCTTGAACATGGTCACCTGGGTATGGAGGTACAAGGACACAAAGAGGTTGAGCAACTCTGTTTGTCTTTGAGCCGGTGATACCTGGGGTTGGGAAATTGAGTTCCGTGAGCAGTAATCTGTCAACTGTCCCCACAACATACATTTTTTAAACCTGTGCCTACATTTTCTTTCATAATCAAGGGGACAAGTTGTGCTGAAAAATGCAATGAAGAGCCAGGGCTATAGTTTAAAATAATTGGTAATGGACACTTCTTAGTGTAAAGAAAGAATTACATACATCATGCCCTTTTATTTTCAGAACAGTTTGCAAGACTGAGGCATATACTGTAAGTGTGCATACAAAACAACCTCATCCCCTTAGTAAATGTAGCTGTGAATTTGGTTAAAAGCATTTTGCTTTTATTCTTAAGTATCTGCAATGGTAATAAATGTTTCTAAGGAGAGAATGCTGCTTCATAAGTGATATTTTTCTTATGTTTTCAGAACTAATACATTGTTCAAAGCAGTGTTTTAGTTTCATTTTAGTTTTTAGTACTTGCCCATTGTCTTACACAAAATACCACATCCTTTAGTGTTATATTTGTGTAATCTTTGCTGCTTTGTATTTAGACACATCTATAATCTGGATTTTACATCTGTACATAGTGACAATTTAAAAATAAACCGCATTTCAGCACTGTTCTGAGCTGCGAGAGCTGGATCTTTAGTGGCTGCAAAATGAAACTGCAAATCGCACTTCAGATCACCCGTGAGTGAAAATAATAGGACTGAGACATCTGGGTGCCTGATTGCTCCCATGGATTTGGCAGTTTCAGGGCTCAGTCCCGCTCTGGTATGTAGGAAGTTGCAGCACCAGCAGCAGCGATCTCGGGTAATTGCAGCACAGTTCTGGGAATCTGACTTGGAATTTAGCTCTCGCAGTTAAAATGAAATTGTTCAATGGTAAATTACATAATTTATTGCAAGTGTTCGTGGATCTATTTGACTTGCTTTTACCATTTGTTCTATTATTTTATTTAACCATTTTGCTGGGTGAGTAATGAGCGCAGCTTTCAGCTGCCCAGTTTGACAGGCTTGGTAGGAATTCTCTCCAGAATTATACTAAAAGAACGAAATTTGTGGAAGAAGGAGAAGGGCTTTTTCCAGATTTCATTTTATCAATTAATTGATGTTGTCATTTTAAAGTGATGATTTTGTGCAGATGAGGATGACATCACACTTAGCTCCTTAAATTAACATCACCCAGCCTGAAATCCTCCTTATTATCCGCAGCATTCTTCCCCACACAATTGGGTGTATTTGTTTTCCTTTCAGTATTTGGTATAGTTATCATTAGTACTAGTATGAGCTACACTTATATAGGAAGTTAGACCAAACAGCTTTTTATTGACTTCTAGAAGATTTGCATATAAATATAAAAGTGTATGTAGGTATAAATATTGTGTGTATGTATTTTAACAGCTGTAACACTTGCAAGCTTTTCCTTCCATAAATAAAGAATTAGTAGATCCAGAAGTGACCAGGAGGAGATGGGAAGGGAAGAGGAGAAAGGGGAACAGGGAGAGGGGATGCCAGCCAGCCTCTAATTAAAAACCTGCAGAAATCCAGATAAGGGAGTGGTGGAAAAAAAAAAAAAAAGAAGTGAAAAAAAGGCCAGTTATTCTTTCCTATTTGCTTATTCTGGAAAATAAAAATAGTTGTCGACTCATATGGTCTCCTATCAATACGTTATCAACAGACAAGTCTATTCACTATTGTTTCAATTGAGTAAACAGTGGTGTAAGGGTCAGCCGTGCTCCCAGGTAATTGTTACTGTGCAGACAGTCCTGTCAAGCGTGTTGGCTAAAAATACATCCCACACTGTCACTTTGCAAGGTGTTTGAAAATAATAGCCCGACACAGCAAAACAGGACACAGGCTTGTGTACTGACCTTTGTCTTTGTTTAATTTGCCCAGAGGTTTAATTTCAAGGGACAAGTAATAATTGAATATGTTTAATAACTAAATGCTCATTTGGGACAAAATCCATCAGAATGTAATTGGCATTTGGGTCTGATGAAAGGCAAATGGCGTGGCTTTAGAGAAACGGATGTGTCCGAAGAATATCTGATCGCTTAACGTATAAATTGAAGCCTTTTTTCATAATATATATTAATTGCAGATACTTAAGGATTTTAGCATTTTTTTGTAGTGAACCGTTACTGGAGACTGACTGTTTTTGTTAATGCTACACTCAGAAAGGCGGGGAAGGTTATTGGTCTGTCGTGCAATAATTTACTCCTCTTTGATATGCAAACGATCCACGGTGAATATAAAAAAATCCTATCAGACTCATTTCACAGTTCTTAACCACTTAGATTCTCTGGAGTCTATCGCCTCATTAGACCAGTGCTCTCCAAAGCTAGCATAATTAAAATCTTTAACAGTTTAGCAAAGTAAAGATGTTTGGCTGATCACGTTGAGATGATTATCTATCCATTGTATTCTAAATGACAAAAATAAATTAAATTTAGACCTTGGCATTTTTTATTATGTGTTTCAAATGAGTATAATGCATATTGCCTTTTTTTTTTATTTCGATACCTTAGGTTTGGTGAGATACATGCCTATGTGAGCTGCTGCTGTACACTCAGAAAATGGCAGGTTTCCTTAGGATAGCTCCGGTGCTACAATATGGTGAAACAATGAACAGTTATCCCAGTGATGATCTGGGAGCACAGTGATGAGAAACCTCTTTAAAAACACACAGACACTGGCTTTTGTTAATCTGTTTTACCCTGAATATTTAAGTGATGCGTCTCTACTGCTAATTTTTTCCCATGGCCTTCTCTGAAAGAGCACTGAGCTAGTCTTCAGTGAGAGCAACTTGACTTGTTTGATCATGTCACAAACACAAGCTTTATCCAAAAACATGATCTCAGTTAGAGCCTGTGTCATGCTGACGCGTGCAGCTCCTCTTCCAGCCTGGAAGTTTGCAGAGTTTTTGCTTGTATTACTTACTGATTGCTGTGTACTAAAGCTGGTGTCCATTTTGACACCATAAAAAAATACATATTTTTTATTATTATGATTTCTTGAAGCTTATTTTATGTTTTCATTTTACTTTTGAATGGCTCATTAGCATTGATCTAAGAAATGACAGTAATAATAGTGTTACTTGTGTAGAAAGTTATACAGTTTTTCAGTAGACACATCCATCAATTAAGTGAGCAGTTCGAGAAACCAAAATTAATGAGAAAGATAGGTGTGTTAATGAAATAATCATAGTATAATCAATTTGACTGTTAAAATTTGAAAAGCATTTCAGGAAGACAATATGAATTCATAATTTATGTCTAAAAGTGATTAATAAAAACTGTATTTAATAACAAAGCTATTTGTCATCATTTAAAACTTAAGCACAAAATTAGTCATATTGTGGTTCGTGTTGTCATAATAATAAAGCTGAGTATTTTTTTTTCCCTAAGACCTTCTTTTCTTTTCAAAAGAGGTTAGAAAGTAGTCACTTTCCTTAAAAAAAAAAAACAAAACAACAACAAAAAAGGAAAATGAAATAAAATAATAAATTTCTCCAGCTGACTGCAGAGTAACGTTTGGCCACCTTTGCTATTGGCCTGGCTGTGAGCTCACAGGGATTTCTGCCTGAGTAGGGACCTGGAAATGGGGCTTCTTGTCTAAAAAACACATAAAATAATAACAATTAATGAAGCGTATGTATGTGGTGTTGTGCTGTGTGGATCCCGCTACCCATAGCCTGCGTCTTGGGTTACACAGGTATCACAGGTGGCATATGAGAAGATTCAGCAGAGTCGCGCAGTGTTTAATATTAGACTTTAGTTATTAAAAAAAATAGATGTGCAAAAACACACACACACAAACCTAACACTAGGCTTTGTTTACTGACTCTTTGATTTAATTACTGTTTGAAGACGGCCGAATTAGCTGTTAATTGATTTAATTATCCAATTTGTTTGTTTCAGGCATGATTCCAACAGAACTGCAGCAGCTCTGGAAGGAAGTGACAAGCTCGCACACAGCGGAGGAGGCAGCCAGCAACAACCACAGCAGCCTGGACCTGTCCACCACCTGTGTCTCCTCCTCCGCGCCGTCTAAGACCTCCTTAATCATCAACCCACACGCCTCAACTAATGGACAGCTATCGGTCCACACTCCTAAACGGGAGAGGTAGGTGCTGGTGGGGTTTCCACCCGGGAGCATCTCTGGAGAGTGTGCTGAAATGATGGCAGAATCATTGGGAGCAGTGGCCAACCGCCTTGGCCTCGGTTTTGTCCTCCACGTCTTGCTCTGTCTGTTTTTGGTGTGGTTGAATAGAGTCTCCACTGAGCAGAATATGCTCCTTTTGTTCAGATCTGTATGGCTTGCTAATTGGATCAATGTGGGCACAATTAGCTAATTAGTAGTGCATTGGATAAGCATATTGGGAGAAGTGTGAAGAGCGTAAGCTGGGTTTTTTGAGTTTTGCATCACGGGTGGTGTTGCAGTTGATGCATTTTGGATTTGCAGGCTGGAGGTGAGGCATGAAATCTGTTGGTCAGTACAGGCTGTTTCACCACCTGTTTATCTGCCAAATTTCAGTGCCCATTCTTGTCTATCATGTTCCTTTTCCCCCCTTTTTTTCCCCCTCTGTATTTACCTGCTTTCACGTGACAGGATATGCTTGAGTTCACTGCGTTTCTTTAAAACAAAGTAGATTTTTTTTTTTAACTGCTGATAAAATTAGCTAACGGGTGTTGTTTGGCTTTTTAAAGTGTGAGTTAATTTATACTTGCTAGGCTTGCATTGTTACAAGAAGTGGCTTAAATCAGGGGTTGTCTGTTGACGTGCTTCTCGGCGCAGGCTCTGCTTTATTCCAAAGGATGCTTTATTGCAGGTTTGTTTCTTTACACCCCCAGATTTCACTGAGGCGTGTCTAACAACATAACTTTTGCTTACAGTGAGGCAGAGACGGTCCCAGGAGCTTGGGCCATGGGTACCAGCTCCTGCTGCAGCCTCAGCATCACTGCTGGCTGTGGAGGAGGAGGAGAAGGGTGTCTGGGAGCATGTGAGCAGCATGGGCGCAGCGGGGAGGACAGTGCTTCTTTGCATTCAGGAGAGTCCCTTTGCCCATCTAGAAATGTTAGAGCAGACACTAGTGAAAGCTGGATTTTATGGAAACTGATGGCTTTGTCTTTCTGTCGTCCTTTCATTCATTAGAAAGAGGCTAATGGAATTTTTAAGCCATAGAGTTTATATTTCTGGTGGTCTGAAAGTAGATTGATAGGGAAGCTATATAAATACCTCTTATATCTTTCTAATATTAAGAAAATGGTGCTGTTGGGAATAGATAGATTTTAAAGGAGAGCACACCCACTGTTGGAAGAACTGCTGTGTGTATAAGGCGTCATTTTATATCCATTGCAAGGACACGTGGGGTAACATCAGCGTATACATTTATAGTGCATGCAAGTGTCAAGGACATGGTTTTCATGAGGACTTCATGGGATACTAAAAACAATTTGATGTTTATTAAACAATTAAATTCCCTTTTTGCTGCATACGGAGCTGAAAAAGATGGGTTTATGTCTTTTCAATAAATTTTTTATCTATGTTTTTCTTACCGAGTATATAAAATAAACCCATACAGTGCAGTGGATCTTCTTTCACTAAATAAAGGCATGTACTGTCTGCTAATGGCAGTCTAAGTGAGGAAACAGTATGCCATTGCTGTTTAGTTTGAAATGCAGTGGCAATACAGGAATCTGTTCTGAAGTAAGAATTTTCTCTATGTATGCTCTTCAGCAGACTGTAAATCCATGTGTCTAAGTCCTGTAATTGTGGCCTGGAGGCAACTGGGATCTACAAACAAGGTGATACATAAGTTTTTATTAGTCCAGTTCCAAATAAATTAATAAGGAAGGCATAAACTTGCCATTTGTATTGTTTGAGGTTTTCTTTTAGTTTAGAACACTTAAAATCCTCTGTGCTTGAATTGATAGCTGCATTGTTAAAAGCTTGCCATTGTACTTTTTTTAAATATCCACTGAGTTCTCTACTACAATATCAAAATATAAAAATAGGTGTATTTAGGTTAACAAATAAGAGAGCCACAGATTTTGCTTTATCTTGCCTCTGTTTGGTACATGGAGGGTTTATACCATCCATTTGCTGCAGTGATTGAATTACATCTTTATCCATAAGTAGAGCAGGAGACTACACACAGAAGAATGCCTACTGATGCACTTAAGGGTTTTTTTGCAGTCTCATCAGGCACTGTGGTGCCTGCCTGGATTTCATATGACACAGAAACTCCTCTTGTTGAGATGTGTTACACTGGTTTCCTTTCTGAAAGGATATTTATCTACAGGCAGGGAGTTAGGGGTGTGAGCAGTGAGGAAAGAGTTGCTGTGCTCTGCCATCAGATACAGATTTGAAGGCTCACAGAAGGTGAAATTTTAGTGTATTTACAGAAACGTGACCACAGGCATGAGCGGGGCTTGGTAGTTTTTTTGATTACAAAGATTAAGACTAGAAAAAGTCATGGGTCTGGTGGGAGCATGAGTTTGTTAGACTTCTACTGAAATCCGTGTATGTTCTTGAGCCCAGCTGGTTCAGCACAACTGAGTCTGCAAATACCAGGGGCACGTGGAGGTGGTCCCTAGCCCAAGCTCGGGTCAGATGGGGATGTTGGAAGGGCTTACAAGGGAGATGTCAGCCCTTCCACCTCCCATCATACAACTCCGTAGCTTGGGCTCGCCAGGGCACGATTTGGGGTTATGATTTCCCCCCTCTCATTCCTGCACCTTCTGTGCAACTGGCTGTGAGCTTTGCTGTTGATATAACCAAGAGCTATTTATTTAGATTTAAGCAACAATAAAAAGCACATAGTAAAAGCTGTAAGTGTCCTAACAGTTAAGCACAGCCACATCATAACGACTGCCCAGCAGCAATAAATAATCATATACAGGTAACATTAACTTTTAGGGTGTGCTGTAAAGCTGTTTTCTCCCCCTTCCTCTCGGGCTTTTGAGAAGGAGTGGGCTGCAGGAGGCAAGTTGGTTATGTGGGAGTTACTATCATCGCTGTCATCTCTGGCACATGTCACTGGGATAGTTCAGCTGTGTTTTACAGGGTTCCTGATTCCACAGATCGGGTTGGGAGGCTGCTGCAGACCTGCTAGACAGGAGGCACTTGACTGACCTGTGTAAAAGTGAGCAGCCGAGCAGCAGCTCTGCAGTACATCTGGGGTAAAAGCATGCTTTGGTTATGAACTCAGGGCTTAAAATGCCAGGAAAAAGGTCCTTGGCTGCTTGGTATGCTCATATGGCACCGTGCCGCCAGCCCAGCCTCATGGTGCTCACAGCAAAGCTTCAGTCCTGCACAGGCTGCAGGGATACAGCTCTTAGTGTCACTGGTGATGCTGGCCACTGTGGAGCTGCCGTGCTTGGAGCGAAAGTTCTCCTTTGTGGCAAAAAGCAAGTGGCAGGCGGTTGGCCAGAGTCACCCCAGGGTGTTTGAAAAGCAAAACCACATTCAAAAGCGGGAGGCTTCCTGGGCAGGGGCTAGGGAGCATCGTGGTGCTTGGTTTCTTTTTGCTCTGTGTGTGTGTCTTTCACAAGACTGAAACAATTTCCAACTGGAAAGAATGGGTTAATGCTTTCATTCGTTTGGGCTTTAAATGTATATTACATCTATGCTTTTGTCCCACATTTTGCCCAGTTTCTGTAAGTAGCGGCAGCAGCAGCTCTGGGGTTTGGTGCACAGCAATCTGTTAAGGAGATAAATAATCTGCTTTGGTATGACACTCCTACTCTCCTCTTTAATTTGTCTTACACAAGGAAAATTATAATTAAATCATTCAGGGTAAACCCTTGAGTGTAGAGAAGGAAAAAACACACTTTGGTAAAGATTGCCAATAGAGACCAACTTCCCTGTTGTGCCGTGCAGAGACATTTATCAATATTCAGCACTATTAAAGAGAGAACATTTCGTGTGATTTGTGAGGCGGATGCCAAAGCTCAAATCAAGGCTTGTTAAGATCCTTTCCCCGTGCAATCATGGGCATTCAGCATCATTAGAATTCAGCACTGACTGTGTGTTTCATGCTTTGATTTTACTCAGACAATTTAATAATGTTTATTGTGCTGATTATATATATAAATTCACTCAGTGCAATAAACATACCTCAGTCATCAGTACCCTAAGGGAAATACTTAGTTATAGATACTTGTATTCGCTCAGGATAAACGAAAGTGAGACCATCAACCAGCATGCAAACCTCTCATCATCTTATCAGCATTTGGGTTTCTTCAGTAGGAAGCATTTTTTCTACACAAGTAAATAAATAAGTAACGGGAGCCAGTTAAGTACATCTGCTGTGCATAGAAATGTCAAGGACAGAACCCGCTTTCCATCTCATTCCACTGCATCTTATTTGGGGGAAGCTAGATTAATTTCTTCAGAAAAACAGCAAAAAAATGCCCGGTCGCTTTAGGTTAGCACTAACTTTATAACCTGATGTGCGGTGGGCATCCCAAAACCTGCATGCTTGGGAATGTGCCCTATGTGGGATGGTTTGGAAAAGCAGAACAGTGCAGTGGCCTTTTGCAGTGACCAGGGTTTGCTCCAGCTTGGGCTTGAACCAGGGAGGGTCTGGGTGTGCTTTGGAGTGGTGCAGGCACCTGTGTTTTGCTGGTCCCATCCTGTGGCATTGTTCTTTGACTGTGGCAGCAATAGAATGGTGGAGGCTGTATGTCAACCAGTGAGATACTGAAAGTCCAGACATATTCATTTAAGAAACACATGTATTTGCAAGAGGTGAAGAGTTGGAGGTATAGGCTGCATGTCCAAGAGACCTTTGTCCATCTGCCAGCAGTCCCATGTTTATCCCTTGTCTTTATATCCTTTCCATCCATGTTTGAGTCTTGTCCTTCCACATATGCAAGCACCCATCTCATAGGAAAACAAAATAAACAAGGGGATTTTTAAATGGCAGTTTCTCACCAGTATCACAGGAGGAAGGAATCTGGGGAAGGCTCTGAAGAGAAGTGAGAGGAATAGCATGGCAGACCATTGATCTGCTGGTTAGGCTTAATATGTTGTGTTTTACTGTTGTTATCTTCCATGCCAGCTGATCCTCCATCAAAATCCCAAGGCCCTTAGATGAAGGCATTAGGATTCAGCACAAT